GCTCTCGGGGACCCCAGCGCAGACGGGAGGTTTGCGTCAGCCCGGGGCTGCTGCGACCGCCGCCCGGCCTCAGTTTCCCTGTCTGCACGGCGGCCTCGAGGACCCCGTCCCGCCCGTCCCGGAGCTGCCGTCGCGGGCGCCGAGGTGCACGCACCTTGCTTGGAGCATCGTGCAGCGCTGTGGTCCTCAACCCGCCGGTTTGGGGACATCTGGCAACGTCTGGAGGCATTTGGACCGTCCTCGTTGGGGGGCAGGGTATTGACATCTAGGGAATGGAAGGCAGGGCCACTGTGGAACCTTCCGCAAAGCACAGGACCGCCCCACAGCCCCACACATTTCCCAGCCCCTAACGCGTGTGGCGTGGAGGTGGGGCGGCCCTGCCGAGCGGCGTGGCTGGTCAGAGACCCGCATCACTTGCCAGGCGTCCCTTGGGAGCAACCTGGCAGCGCAGAACCGGGGCCCGAGTCCACCCCTGCCCTAGCAGAGTCTGCGTTTTAGCCCAAGTGACCGAAAGTTTGGGCAGCGCGCTGTGCCCTGCGGTCCGATGGACTGTCGGTCCTTGTGTGTGCACTGAACAGTCCCTTGGGCGTTTGGGGTGGGCCCCAACTTCACCAGGTAAACCGAAGTCAAGTACAAACCAAGGAATAAAACGCCCAGTTTGAAGCTCCAGAGAGACCTACCCTGAGTGCTACCCAGAGCCTGGCCTCATGGTCTCCAGGAGGCTTCCTAGGACTTTCAAAATGTCCACATACTTTCCGTGGACTGCTGACCGGAGGTGGCGTGCACATTATCGCTTCCTGTGGTAAAATCCTGCATCCACTAGTTAAAAACAAAGACACTGCAACTCAAGGAGGTAAAGTTGCTTGCCTGAGGTCACACAGCTAAGAAGGAGCAACACTGAGAAATGATTCCAGATCCATGTGCGACCTTGTCCTCCACTGACCGTATTGCTAGATTGTTTAAAAGGCACACACACAAAAGTCTTTATGGACCCAGAGAGATAGATAAATGTATGAATGCAGAGGGGGCAGAAATTCCCCACAGAGGTCAATAAGTGGACAGAATGCTCTACGCAGCCACTACATCTGACGTGACTCCACGTTCAAACAGCTTCCAGGGTTCATAAGTATAGTTTGTAGACAAGAATTTTCTGGCTCAGGTGGTCAGGAAGTTAAATCATGAAATAAATTCCTTACCCTCTAATGAAAGACCCGGAGATGCTGTCGTGGGAGTCTCATGAATTTTAATTCAAGCCGAGATGTCTCTTTAAAATTAAACTTATTAAACTTCTCGGTGACCTAGATGCTCACTCTGGACTCTGGGTTCCACACAAAGCCATCCCCCGAAGTGATGGATGTGGCTTAGGTGGCAGTACCTGCAGGGGTCGTTACAAACCAGGGCCTCCTCTTTGCTAGCTGAGGCAAGTGTCATGGTGTATCACCTTGGCACTGTTACCCACTCCTCTGAATTGGTTAGAAAACCAAGAATTAGTAGCATTTGGGAAGATAAGACCTAGCTCTGCTCCCACCCCCGTTTCCTGCCCTGTTTTTCCTTTCCTGCCCTGGCTCTTCGAGGTGGTAGAGTCTTGCAGAACTTGGTTAGAAATTCACCGTTGCTTGTTTTGAATTTTAATAAAATGTATGAAACGGAACATTGCAGAATGTGCTAGTTTACCTCATTTAACCTACCCAGTAATGCCTGCTCTTAATTCTTAACCACCCTTTCCTTATATCTGTTATTGGCTTAACAACATGCAGTCAGTTTATAATGAATTATTTTGCAGTTGGTGTGCTTTTTGGACTTTTGAAAACATTTCTCCTAAAGTTCTTTGTCGCTGTAGCCCAGGTGCTTGATAGTCTATGCCTGATACTCTAGACTTGATTCTCCTTTCTCAGGGAAGTGAAATTAAGAACAAATAGTTTCATGGGGAAATTTTTACTATTACAGGAGAAACTTGTTTAATCAGAGGGGAATGAGGAAGTAGAGGGAGATTTTTGCAGAAATGTCGATAAGAACTTTTCAGTGTTTTTGAAACGTATGGTGCTGTGTGTAATCCCTTCAAACAGGAAAGACAATTCGAGTTTCTGTTTCTGTTGACATAAGGTAACAGAGGGCTGTGGTCTAGGTAATCATTTCGGCTCTCCAAGGTGAAGGAGAGAAGGACAGAAGGGAACCGAGGCGACTTATTGACCAGAGCAAGATTTCGAAGGAAGGAGAAAGATGATAAGTATTAAACAGTATCTCAGCTCCCGAGAGCGAAGATTATCCACTTTGTACATAGCTGAAATTAGGAGCTCAAGAGGTGGGAGGTGGGCCCAGCCTCTTCAAAACACATGGAGTTTGTCCTTTAGACTAGGGCAGCACTAACACACAGGACCACATCAAGTTTTCTAGGAGCGGCTTTAAAACGATGCAGATGAAATGAACTTGAATGGGACATTTTTTTCTGTCCCAGCATCCAAAAAATTGTTATTCACCACATAATGCATGAGAAAAGCCGTTGAGACATTTTACATTCCTTTTCGGTACCTGGTCTTTGGAATGCGTGTTTTCGCCACACTCAGCACTTCTCGGGGCACACTGGCCACCTTTGTCCAGTGGCCACTGCCCTGGGCAGCATGGTCCACAGGTTCAGGAAGCCACCCAGGCCGTCTGCTGTCGATAAGGGGGCCAGGCAGAGGGTGGGTGTTAAGAATATCCAGAATTAGGAATTATGGTGTGTGTAAAATGTGCTATATGTAACTTGTTCTCTAGGTGTCTTATAAATATAGGAACTTTTTAGAATCCTTCAAAAATCAGCTAAGAAAAAATTCTTAAACATTCTGCAATTCTTAAAAAAATTCTTAAAAGCATCAGCAGAAAATAAGCTAGATCTTTTAGGGAGTCATATTTGCGTGGTTGATTGCAGTTTACCGTGTCTCCATAACTGCACAGGAGTTGTAGGGTTTTAACGGGTGACATGTGGCTTCTACTTCAGAGAAGGACAGATGACTGTTATGTGCCTGTTCTCAGTCCCGTACCTTCCTGTCGGCCAAAGACAGCACTCAAGAGTCTGCAAGTGCCAGCTTCCCTGTCTGGGGCCCAGAGTGTCCCAGAAGTCGATCACACTGAGTCAAGCGCTCAGCAGGGCCTGTCGGCGTAGGGGCACAGTGCCCTTCCCGCGCGTCCCCTCCGTCCCCATCCTCAGTCTGCTGCGGAGCGCGGTTCCGTTTTCTCTTGAGCTCCTTCTCCCTTTGCGCTGCCTTCTTCCCCTGAAAGGCTGCGTGCTGGGGATTCTGAGTTCCCTTTTGTCTTTCTGATCATTCGCTGTTTCCTCTGATTCTTTTTTTTTTCCAACTAGTATAGTTTAAATATCAGCTGCGCTCTGTCATTTTTCAGGGGGCCCAGAGTGCCCCAGAAGTCGATCACACTGAGTCAAGCGCTCAGCAGGGCCTGTCGGCGTAGGGGCACCGTGCCCTTCCCGCGCGTCCCCTCCGTCCCCATCCTCAGTCTGCTGCGGAGCACGGTTCCGTTTTCTCTTGAGCTCCTCACTTTGCGCTGCCTTCTTCCCCTGAAAGGCTGCGTGCTGGGGATTCTGAGTTCCCTTTTGTCTTTCTGATTATTGGCTGTTTCCTCTGATTCTTTTTTTTTTCCAACTAGTATAGTTTAAATATCAGCTGCGCTCTGTCATTTTTCAGGGGTGGTGGAGGTTTACTGTAGTGTTAAAGAGGCAGGGAAATAACGCCCCCAGGACATGTCCCCGAAAGTCCCCGAGAGCACTCATTCCGTAGATGCCCAGGGGACCTGTCAGACATGTGGGCGAGATGTGGAAGGATCGATAGTAGCCTGTAGCTGGAAGGCACAGCGACGTCATCCCACACCAGCCAGCCGCGCATGAGTGCTGGCGACCTTCAGTTACAGACTGTGGTGTCAGAACCTTCCCTCGGCTCCGTTCCTGCTGGGGGGAGGGGAGGGGGCGCCCTGGTTTCAGGGTGCAGACGCCATTGTTTTCGGGTGTCGGACGTGAATTTCCCCAAACACGTCGTGATTGTAGCGCAGTCCATTTCTGCTCGAGAAGTCTTTTCCCCTTGGCTTTGGCAAAGCGGTCCGACGGAAGGCCAGGTGGATACCTGGACCAAGGTCCTTGCTGCGCTGTCCAGCGTCATTTGGCGAGACAGATTGAACCGCCGGCATACGTCATGGTCATGCAGCCCTTCTTTAAGCCATAGTGTTCGTTATGAGGTCAGTAAAATGGTGCCCCACTTAGCAAGTGGGTGGCCCGTCCGTGCGGTGCCCGGAGGCTTCACGTCTTCCCTCGACAGCACCTGTAATGCTGAGGGATGAGCGCGGTGCACCTGCCTTGATGCTTACGGTCTGTTTCTGCTGGCGGGGCCGGGGCTCCAGGTGTGTCCTGCGTGCGTGCTCGGCAAGGCTAGTGCGCATCGGTGAGCTCGCTGGGCTGAGTGCACGGCCCCCGCAGCCGCCAGTTCTTCTCCGCGCTGGAGTGAGGTGGTCCCATTGAGGCCGGCGCCTCCGCGTGCGGGGTCCCGGGCCCTCCTTTCCTGCACGGGGAGGTGCTTGCTCCTTGTCCTCTGACTGTCAGCTGCTGCTGCTGCCCTTTTTGTTTTTCTGCTCATGCCTTTTTAG